CGGGGAGGGGTCCTCCCTCCCCTCCCCCACCAATCAATCAATCAATCAATCAATCAATCAATCAATCAATCAATCAATCAACCAACCAATCAATCAATCAATAAATAAAATAATCAATCAATGATTTTTTTTTTCTATTTTTTTAATTATTTTTACTACTTACCAAAAACCACCCCCCAAACTTTTAATTTTTTTTATTTTTTTTCTGTGCACGTCGTTAGAGGCCGACGTGCCCAGGCCGCACGCGCGCGCCCCCGCCTGGCTGTGGCACGACTACGCGGAAACTCAGCCGCCCGGCCTTGGCCGCAGCCTAGTAGGCCGCAGGATCCGCGGCCTTGGGTGCCACATAGCCAAGCGGCTCCACAACCCGCTGACATTTGCCACACCTGTTGCAAATGTGATGCATGGGAGGGCACAAAGACAAAGCAACGCAGTTACACCGACAGGAAACGGATTTACATATGGAACTCCTTAGACTGGAATCCCAGGTAGCATCACAAGACCAAATAGAGACCATCCAGCGATTAAAAAACCAACTGCTGCAATTTGCACAATACAAATGACAAGGGGTTAGAGTCCGAAGAAATTGTCTAAGCTTAATAAGGAAGCTATAATGGACACCTATTTCCTTAGTATGACGACCACGCGTGCTCGCCGGACAGTCATCGACTCCCTCTTTGACCCCGAGAAGGGCAAATAAGTCATCGCAAATAGACACACCTCATTGCACGTTGATCACCAGAACCTTTTTTAAAAACCTTTACACCTAAAAAATTCAAAATCCTGATGGGGCGGAAAGACGTAGGGAGTTGGAGGATTTTTTGCACCCCATGAACAAACGCTTATCCTCGCAGCAACGAGAGGAGATGGAAAGGTTGTTAGCCAAAGAAGAGATTTCAACAGCACTCCTCCCAATGGAAGAAGGGAGAACACCAACGATTGACGGATTCCTAAAATAATTCTGGGAAAGCATGTGGACGAACCTTAGCACTGACTTATGAGAATATTATCAAGGATTTGGGAAGAGGGGGAGATGAGAAACGTGGTGGGCAGGGGGGTGTTGTCTCTGTTAGTGTATACCGCCATATGAATACGGCTCCTCCATGCGTCTGGACGGGCCCCTCGACGCCTTTACGGCCCGTACGTACGGACTTCGGGCCGTCCGTACACGGCCTTTCGGAGGGGTGCTGAGGGGGTGGATGGGCTTGGGGGGGTCGGGTGTCAGGGGGTACCCCCCCATTCAAAAAAACAAAGAATTGTTTTTTTTTTTTTTTTTTGTCCCGGGTAAAAAAATAAAATAAAATTGATTGATTGATTGATTGATTGATTGATTGATTGATTGATCGAACGTGAAAAAAAAAACAAAAAAAAGAAAAAAAAAATCATTCAAAAGATTGATTGATTGATTGATTGATTGATTGATTGATTGATT